CGCCAAAAAAGATGTCGTGCATAACCTCGTCCCTCACCGAGGGCGAGGTTATCTCTCGCTTGGAGGACGTTCGATCCTACAGTTGAGAAACGTCAAAATCGGTTCGAGCCTCAATCCCTTCTTTTGGGTCGAAGTACTGGCCCAAGTCGTCCATTTTCGGAAATGGCATTTCTGCTTCCTTCGGACTGTCGCATCCTCCCGACTCTCTTTCCTCACGAGAGGTGGTGGAGAGTGCCATCAAACCCGTACAACAGCGGAGAGCATATGGTTGTCCGCGATGTGTGGCAGTACTACAGTACAGCACTCACTCTGAACAGCAGGGGCGCGGGGGGGGGCTCTGCCCTCTAGAAAAAAAAAGCACTTCTGTTCAGCTTGAGAGGGGGATGGGGGTACCGCAGATGTCATGGGGGTATTGCACCATCATGTTTCATATTGGGGCGTTTCTTACGTTGTGGCCGAGATTGAGCTATGTTTCTGAAGCCCTTGTTTCAAATTTTTCGTACAAACTTGAGCCTTCTTTCTTAACAGAATTTATCTTAAGTGCAGGCGCTATCTGTATTTGTACGCGAAGGGAAGGGGTGGCGACTACCGTGAGACGCAGCTTTCGAAGATCGTTCATACGGTTACTGATGAAACTCAACAGAGCCGTAGAGCCAAGCCGCGGGGGGAGGTTCAGGGAACTCTTCGCGGTATGAGGAAGGAATAGCCATCAGGGTAGCTTTTGGTCTCCGCCGGGACAGTGGTATGTACTGGTGTTCCTCGGTGCGACGCTGAAATACGCTCGTTGTTTTTTGTTTCACAAGAATGAGATAAATATATATATAAATATCTGCTTGGACTTTCCTTCTTCTTCCCCTGCCGGCTATGCAGTACATTGGTTGGCCAAGTACAAACTGTTGTACTGCTGTAGTTGTTTTCAACACGTCCCCGACTGGTGTACACCTCATTTCAAGTTTTACAAATATGTTCGACGTCAACAAACGGTTGCCAGTCGTCTCGGCGATGCTGACTTCTCGTCCTACCCCCTTCCTCAGCAAAAGACGCGTAGTTTGAGGTGTAGCATGCCTCCATTGGCCCCAGGGGAGCTATCGTCCCCTGAATTTTAAGAACCCTGCATTAAGGACGCTTCTTTCGGGAAAAAACATGTGCGTCCTTGAAGCGGGGTCGACTGTATGTGGGAGAGTCCCCTAGCATCGACCGCGCTAACCAGCTGACCAACGAAAACACGTCAGTCAGCCGCAGTGCGGGCAAGAAACGCAAAACGCTTCTGCAGCGATGATCTGGGAACCCATGTGTTGTGTCTGTCTTTCTCGCATCGACCTCGCCGGGTAGCTGACCAATGACAAAAGACGGCGGTTTCAGTGCTTTACCCGGGAGGACCCGTCTGTCTCCTCCTGCGTGTGTGCACGTGCCCCAACCCGTACGAACGGCACTTGTCGCCGCCTTCCAAAGGACTCCCTCAACCTTCCTAACTGCGTATCCCCCCGCAGACGTGCGTGCATGGTTCTGCATCAGCACTCATCACTAATCACACAAGCGAGAGCGAACGAACCCTCTCGGCCGAGAGGAAACGACGAAAACGGCAGCGACCTCGCCCATTTTTCTCCACTCCGGCGGCGGCATCGAACATCCCCGCACCCCTACTCTCTCATTGCTAAACACGCCGGAACCCCCTCCGCTATCCCAAGCGAAAATCGCCTCCAGTTTTCCTACCGGTGGAAGGAGTCGATGAAGATGGTCATGATGACCTCTCTTGCTCTCGTAATGACGTCCTTGTGAGCACGCCCCACGGGTTCCGATGCCCACTTCGACCTGGCCACCAGCTTAATCACCACCGCACGGTACCTAGATTCGTGCGGATATGTAGATACGTTCATGTGCTTTTGGTGCTTCAAGCCGTCATTATTGGCAATTCCACACGGCATGATTCGGAGTACAGAACAACAAAAGAAACACACAAAAATGGGCGAGGAGGCGTACGTGTGTGTCGAAGAGTACGTTCATGCGTCCGTTACGGGTCCTCTCAGATGGCAAGAACTGCTTCAACCCCGACCCTCTCTTATCCTGTAAAAAAAAATGACGAAGCAGGTGATACCGCTGTACCTACACCGCGTCACGCGCAGCGCGTCCACATACCTCTCTCGAACCATGTGGCCCGCCACCACTTCCTCCTTTCGGGCCTCCCTCTCCCGCTCCTTGGCCTCCGTCTCCGCCCACTTTTCCATCCCCGCGCCAGCGCCTTGGTCGCCGCCGCTATCGCCGACGCTGCTGCTAGTGCTGCTGCCGCTGCCCCCGCCGTGCTTGCTCTTGCTCGGCTTCCCCTTCCCCTTCTTCTTCTTCTTCCCCTTCCCCGCGGAAGATAGTGGCATGTCTTCGAACCCTTCCTCTACCTCGTCGCCCAAGTTAGCCCCACCGCCATCGGCTGGCCCGCCGCTATTGCTAGCCCCACCACCTCCATCGCCGGCGATGGCGCCGTCGGAGGAGCGCTTTCGCCTCTTGGCCGGATTGGAGGCGGCTGCGCCGTTCTCCTTGCCTCCTCCTTCTCCTGCTGACGCTCCCGTACCTTCTACGCTACCTCCCGCTGGTGATCGGGCCCGTTGATCACGTTCGCCCCAGGCTGTATACGTTTGTTTTGGTTTAGAGCGGAGAAACGTGGCACCCGAGACAACTCAAGACTGGGCCACAAGACACGTGTTCCCGTGAACAGAACTGAACGACAGAACAGGTCACTTACTCAGTATCACCCCGAGCAAAGCACAACAAGACAATTATCACCCCGAGCAAAGCAACACAGGACAACCACACGGTAGGTACAACAAAGAGATGTGAACGACAGCATGAAGGCTACCAAATGCAGAACAGGTGAACTACTGAGGAGGACACCGAGCGTCAATGAGAGCATGCAAACCTGCTACCGCGCGGACAGCAGCAGTCTCACCGTCGTCATCGTCGTCGTCATCGCTCTCGTCATCTTCCAAACCCCTTCCTCCGTCATCGGTGCTTTGGTCGTAGGTGTCGTATTCCACTTGCTCCACGGAAGGGTAGTCCTGACCAAAACAGACGAAACCAGCAGAAAGCAACAAATGAAATAAAGGGAAAAACTGGTTGTGCATGGTTTGATACAATACGGGGCCTCATGCAAGCGTTCCGAACGGGTTTTCCAAGAGGAGTTGATCGCAACAACAACAGCAGCGACAGGTACGCCAACACTACATTAGAAAAAATCAGGGCAGGTGAACACCAACGGTAAACAGCAGCATCGGCAACATCAACAGAGGAGGCAGGACCACCCCCCCTCAAAGCGAGAACAATATCCGCCTAACCCCCCCCCC